GTTCAATCCCCAGCACCACATGCCAGCCAGCCCCACCCCCTGGTGGGCTGAGCTGGACACACACACACACACACACACACAAATAAATAAATAAATAAAATTTAAAAAAAATTTTCTGAAGGAGTTGCAGTAGCTCCAAACTCCACACCATCATCCCACACTGTTCAAGAAAAAGAACCAGAGCCACTACAAAAAAGGAAGGAAACATCTATGACCCAGAAGACCCAGGAAGTATCTGCCGGTTTCTTCATGAGGGTTCTTTTTGTTTGATGAACCCATTGGTTTGAACAAGTTAAAGACCATCCCTGGAATGAGACCCAAATTGCATGGTTAAGTGTAAGTGATAGCTCTTGAAAAGAAATTTAGAGGGCTTTTTCCTAGAGAGGAGGGGCTGGGATGGGGCAGTCAATTGCAGCAGTCCTCCTCATTAATAAAGCGGGAGGGGATGAAATAACTCCCTATGGACGTAGGAGTAACTTTCTCCTCCCTGGGCTGCAGGTTGCCATCTCTAACCTCAGCGAGGCGGTGCAGGATGCAGACCTGCTGGTGTTCGTCATCCCCCACCAGTTCATTCACCGGATCTGTGATGAGATCACCGGCAGGGTACCCAAGAAGGCGCTGGGAATCACCCTCATCAAGGTACCTCCTGCACAAAGCAGGCACGACACACATCACTGGACATGGATTACCAGCGAATTTCATTCCCTATCTTTCATCAGTTTGCTGTTGGCACTAGGGAGGAGGTGGTGGCAGTTTTTTGTTGTTAGGGAGGTTTTTTGTTTGGTTTGAATCTGGAGCCTCTTTACTGAGCTATATCTGCAGCTTTAATTTTTTTTTTTATTTTGAGATAGGATTGTGCTAAGTTGGGTTTGAACTTGTGATCCTTCTACTGCAGCCTCCCAGAGTACTGGGATTATAGGAATGTACCATGGTGCTCAGCTACTTTGTTTGTGTTTGAAAGATGCCTAGCAAGCACATCCCACAAGCCTAACTTAGGTCAGTTTAGGAGCCAGAGTGATTCCCGTTGCCACAGACCAGCGTCCTGGTGTCTTCGGCAGGCTGACTGAAGAGCTTCTGTCAGAAACTATGGCCCGCTCCATGGGGCGTGACTGTCCGGAAGGTACTATCCGGGAAGTGAACCACCATTAATTCCCACTCCTGGCTGTATACATTCAAATGCGGGCTTTGTAAAACCAGAAGTCCTCAAACCACCTCCAGGGTTTCTATGCATTTCATTATTAAGGAGAGTGGTGACCTTTGCATTTTTATTCCTCTTAACCTCTAACTGAAATGGGTGTTTCTTTCATTTGTGAATGTTAGCTGCAGCCAGAGTTTCAGTGGCACTAATATTAGCAGGACCTGTGACCCTTTCTTTGTCAGTGAAGGAACTTTCATATCATGTTACAAAGTTGCACATCGCTTAAGAGCCATTCATGTTCATTAATGCCTCAAAATTATAGTAATCATTAGATGTGCCAGGAATATTTATTTCTGTATACATGAACAAGCCCATGTATGCTACTTTATCACCCATTGGGGTTTTTAACATTTTGATAACTATTTGAATATAATTGGCTTTCTAGATAATATTACCTATTTTGTTTTATTCACATGAAATTCTGAAAGGGAGTCTGTGAACTTCACCACATTGCTAAAGGTAGAATGTATGTCCTAAACAAGCTGTGGCCCCCTAAAGAGACTATTCCAGAGTGGTCATGGTTGAATGTTTGTGAAAGCAAACTACAACAACCCAAATGTCAACCAGTACCAGCATGCATCAGTGAGTGGTAGACTGACTACTCAGTCTAGAAAACTGTTAACACTGAACAGAAGGGAACCAGAAATTTCATGTAGCCATGTGCTACATAATAGTGTAGCACAAAGCAGTGTATCATAGGTGAATAGTACAGTTCTGTCGGTGGGCATAATGACACAACGTGGTAAAATGATGGAACAAGTGAGCACCAGTGTCGTGGCTCTTTGGTGTGGTGGTTTCCCTCCTAACTTCTTGCCATCCTTAGGGCATCGATGAGGGCCCGGAGGGGCTGAAACTCATTTCTGACATCATCCGTGAGAAGATGGGCATCGACATCAGTGTGCTGATGGGCGCCAACATTGCCAGCGAGGTGGCTGCAGACAAGTTCTGTGAGACTACCATTGGTGAGGGCCGCCAAAGGGCTCAGGAGCAGGCATTCAGGGCTGGGATGGGTGCATTTCTGTTTCAGGTGTCTTCAGTGGGCTCTTCCCTGCCCCTCCTAATAGTGCACAATCAGTTTTATATGAGGAGGCCATTCTGTGGAAGTGACGTGTTTCAGCGATCTCCAGAATAAATGTAAAGTCCAGTATTGGACACTGAGTAGCAGGGCTAGTTCATACCAAGAAGCCTCATGGCGGAAGTCCCTTACCTAAATCCAGCTTCTCTTTACTGGTCACAGTGCCAATATTGGGTCCTCAGTAATTCTAAGGAGAAAAAAATTAGAGGAAGCCAGGAATGGGGCACACACCTGTAATTCCAGCACTCTGGGAGGCTGAGGCAGGAGAATTGCAAGTTCAAGCCCCACCTGGGCAGCTTAGTGACTTAGTAAGACTGTCTCAAAGAAAGATTGGGGATATAGAGCAGTGTGAAGGCCCTGGGTTCCACACCCAGTCCCAGAAGAAGAGGACCAAAACATGTAGTGATGAATGATCCCAGTTTTGGGAAGAATAAACTAAGGCTCCAAGGTCACACACTAATAGAGAACCCAAGCATGAGCCTGGAGTCTCTTACTTGTTCACAGTAAGTTTTTTCTGTTCTTACACATGGTGAAGTAGAGACATTACTCTCACCTTGACATGAAAATTTTCTTTTCTTTAAAAAGTAGTTTGAGGGGCCGGGGAGATGGCTCAGTAGAATAAGTGCTTGCCTGGCAAGTACAAGGCCTGAGTTCAATCCCTGGTTCTGAAAAAAAAAAAGTAGTTTTAGATTACAGGAAATGTGTAAAAGAAACTGAAGTTCTGGTTATATTTTTATATTTGTAAAGCAAGAGTTTGATTCAAATGGTCACTTTAATTTTATTGTCATTTCAATAAAAATGTTTTTATTTCCATTTCAATTAAAAAAAAAAAAAAAAGTAGTTTGAGGGGTGGGGTAGATGGTTCAGTGGAATAAGCGCTTCCCTGGCAAGCACAAGAGCCTGAGTTCAATCCCCAGTTCCACCAAAAAAAAAGTAAAAAGTGGTTTGAGAGTTCTCAAGTGCCCGTGGACACACTAAAAGATGCATTCCTAGCAAGGTCATATCGTTTCTGTCCCTTCTCTTGTGTTCCTTTCTGATAGTCTCATTATGTAGCCTGGGGTAGACTGTGACACATACCATAGCCCACTTGGCCTTGAACTCACAGTCTTCCTGCTCAGCCTGATGACTGCTGGGATTACACATGTATCCCACCATACCCAGCTCCTTCTATTAGTGCCAACTATTCGCTTTTGGTTATTGTTAGTCACATGGTGCCATATGACTACTTTATCAAAATCTGTAGCAAGTTTTAAAGCTTACAGTATATATCCTCATAACTGCACAACATACCATCAACAGTTTCATGTATCTGAATACATAAAACTTTTTGTTTTCTTTTTCTGAGACAGTCTGTTATGTAGTCCAAGCAGACCTTGAACTCACTAGGTAGCCCAGACTGACCTCTAACTTGTGATTCTCCTGTCTGGGCATCCAGAGTGCTGAAATTAAATGCACAGCCAAGCCCTGAAAAACTTTTCTTTCTTACTTTATTTCTTTCTTTCTTAAATATTTTCTGGAAAGTAGAGGTATCTAAATGATGTAAAGAAGTACAGAGAAGTCTAGATATTCTCTCCAAAGTCTTGGTAGGGGCTGGAGAGATGGCTCAGTGGTCTAAAGCACCTACTTGAAACAAGCTTGGCAAAGCACAGGGACCGCGGTTTGATCCCCAGCACCACATGCCAGCCAGACC